ATCTTCTGCTCCAAGCGCTCTGACATTACTTTAAGCACAGGTGTTTAAGCTCCTGCGCCATATGACATTCAACTCTTTCTGTATCTTCTGTTTCTACCATCATAGCTGTTTTAAGAGGAGGCATTTTAATTCTGTCCCTTTCTTCAGATTTATAGTATTATCACCTTTTCAGTAGCTCTTCTTAAGAATGTGGACCATAGGGAAGCAGCAGTTAGCGTAATGGCTATGTCGCTGGACTCCCACGTAGTCGACCGCGGTTTGCATCCCGGACCCGGTGGCTTAGAATTCACGCTGGGCGCGTGTGCGTGCGTGCCCAAGATCCAGAGAGGAGAATGGAGGAGAAGGGATTGTGGCACAGTGGTAATGAAACTGGACTTGTGTCCTGGGCCCTCCCTGAGCCTATGTCGTGTGCATGTGTTCTTATGACCTGGGCTGGCTGAAACTGGGGGTGGGTCATGACATGAAGACCCTGTTGGGATGCCTGTCTCTCTCTCTCTTTCTCTCCTTTTTTGTCCCTTTCTGTCTTATGTAATAAATAAACAAATACAGGGATCAGCAGTTGGCATAATGGCTATGTCGCTGGACTCCCATGTAGTCGACTGTGGTTCAAGTACCAGACCCGGTTGCTTAAACTCATGCCAGGCGTGTGTGCATGTGTGCCCAAGATCCCGAGAGGAGAATGGAGGAGAAGAGATTGTGGCGTGGCCGTCCCCCTTGGGAGGTGATTTCTCGCTTTCTGTCTCTCAGTCTCTCTTTGTCTTTCCAGTGAGTGCACGTGCCCTATAGCAAAAACCTCTCAAAAACGAACAAACAAACAAACAAATACGATCTTTTAAACAAAAGAATTATTTAATTTTATTTATCATTATTATTATTCAATTTGCTATAGGGCATATATGCTCATGAGACAGAGAGAGAAAGCAAGAAAGCAGGACCTGAACCACAGTCAACCATGTGGGAGTCCAGCACCTTAACTAACATGTCACCTTCTGGCCCCATAAATAAATAAAACTTGAAAAATTGAAAAGAAAGAAAGGAAGAAAGGGAGAGATAGAGGGAGGGTGGAATGAAAGAAAAAAGAAAAGAAAAGAAGAAGAGAATAAAAGAGAAAGTGAAAAGAAAGTAGAGAGCAGTTAAGGGACCTACACCAAGATTACAGTTTCTTTTCTTTTTTTTTTTGGAGAGGTTTTTGCTATAGGGCGCGTGCGCTCGCCAGACAGACAGAGAGAGAGACGGAGAGACAGAAAGCGAGAAATCACCCCACCAGGGGGGATGGTCACGCCGCAATCCCCTCCCCTCCATTCTCCTCTCGGGATCTTGGGCACGCACGCACTTGCGCCCGGCGTGAGTTTTAAGCCACCGGGTCTGGGATGCGAACTGCGGTCGACTACGTGGGAGTCCAGCGACATAGCCATTACACTAACTGTTCCCAAGATTACACAGTTTCTAATAAGTGACTAAACTGGAATTCCATCCAGGTCTGTCTAAATGCCAAATAGTATTTTTTTTCTCCACCAAAACTAGAATCGATACTTTTCAGAGGCTTTTAAAACATAAAAAAAATAATTATTTTATTCCGCTTTATTTATTATTATTATTTTCTAATTTGACCAGAGAGAGAGAAAGAGAGAGAGAGAGAGAGAGAGAGAGAGAGTGAGAAAGCAAGCTGCCAGATCTAGGACTGTGGTCAGACATTTGGGAGTCCAGCGCCTTTAACCACCACACCACCTGCTATCCCCTCAGAAGCTCTTTACAAAGGTTCCTTTTTCATTTGATATCTGCCTCTGCTCAGATTTCCAGGTAAAGATGGGATCAGCCTGGCATTTAGCTGTGGCTTCCTCCGTTGGTGTGAGGGAGCGTAGGAGGAGACCTGGGGTGAGGGTTCTGTTTCTCTGCCTTCTGGTCATTTCTTTTGATTTCCATCTGATCTGTGTTCTGTTGAATATCATTTCCCAGCCTGACCACAAAAAAGGCTTGTTCTGTTTCACCTTGAACTTATTTAAGATTGGTGATTAAAACATACATACTAGTCTGACAACATTTTTGCATTTCCCCCCAAGCTTTTGGTTGTATAGGTGTAGATCCTGGAGCTTTTAAAATATCCTCAGAGGGGCCAGATGGTGGCATGGTGGGTAAGGCACTGGATTCCCACATGGCCGAATGTGTTTTGAGTCTAGATTGGAGATTTGCTTTCTCTC